CGTAATGACAAGGGCAGATAATAACTTGTCTTTTTCATAATTGACGTAACACACATTTACAACATTGGTATTGTCCGAAGGTTATTATTAACGATTGTAATTTATCTACGCATGAGCGGCGGGAACGAAAAGTTCTGTGTTTTAACGAGGAATGTAAGTAATGCTGATACTCTTTTACATTGGTTAAATAGACGTAAATTAAATAGCCTAAGATCTGTTTTAATGTCTTATTGCCAACCTTTCAAGTTTCTATAATAATCTCTGTCAACCCGTGATTGAATATTCAGACAGTTGACGGAAGCGCTGTATTCCTTACATTTGCGGGGACTCGATTCCATTTATTCCTACCCGTCCCAGCCCTACCCCACACCCCCACACACCCACCCAATACATTTCATCATAGTGATGTAGCTATTGATGATGATTTTGATGCCATCGTGTAGTAGCACATTTCAGGTAATGAAAATACAGTTTCATTTTGAAAGGATTTGCCCCAGCGCAGTATTAAAAGCATGCTACCAAGTCATATGACGAAAAGCAGGATCTCTGCCTGACTTTACAAGGGTATAAATCTTGAAACGCCCGTCGTGTTGCTCTCAATCAGTGTGCCAATATCTAAATACGTATGAAGTAAGGTTATTTCTATGGGCTTTCTAATTATAGTTCAGCTGAAAACATCGGAGGAACGCAGTTTGCTGTCTGAGGTTATTGAACAACATCAGATCATTCATATACCTGAAGCTCAGTTAAACGTTTTGATCAAATTACCTTGTTTTGACTCTGTCAAACCGAAGAGAAGATAAAAAATTGATGTCCATTGGGAGGTTGTCTCGGTGTTTTACCACAAATGGTACTAAATGATAACGATGCACAGCATACGCTGAAGTCGGCCCGTTTCTGAAATTGTAATGATTCAAGCAAATCTTTTGAGATTTTGAGAATCCACACGGAATTATCAGTTGTTATGTGGCAGTGCTGTTCCTTGTGCAGTATTGTTTCAAGTGTATTACGTTGTTTCTGTTGTCATTCAGTAGGGGGGCAGTGTGTTCCTATTTTAGACAGAAGAGTTAAATCATCAGGCGATAAACACGCTCCTCCTCGTAGCCCCTGTCAGCCACTGGACCTCCGAAGGGGCACTCAACGCCATTCCCAGTGTAAATCAGCCTGTCGATCCTCCGAAGGGGCATTCAACGCCATTCCCAGTGTAAATCAGCCTCTTGATCCTCCGAAGGGGCACTCAACGCCATTCCCAGTGTAAATCAGCCTCTGGATCCTCCGAAGGGGCACTCAACGCCATCCCAGTGTAAATCAGCCTCTTGATCCTCCGAAGGGGCACACAACGCCATTCCCAGTGTAAATCAGCTTCCAGTTGGGCCAGGTTCTGTGAAGGATACCTTTGTTGCACAGGACGATCACCCATGTCCAAGATATACTCCAAAGGGTTAAAATCAGGGATCATCCAATCGTGAGATATGTCGGGGTTGCTTAACTAGTTCTTTGTGTATAGTTTAAAATTCCATTCTGTGGTATTCTAGTTTTTACTGTTCTCTGTGGACAGGTTTCTATAATTGACTGTATTTATAATGAATTGATAGCTACGTCTTGTCACGATATGGCTGAAATGCTGCCGATGCGTCTGTACATTTAACTCACTCACTCACTCACACATCCACCCAATAGTTTCATTATGTAGCAATATACGTTGTACGTGTATTTCTGATGACTGTGGGGGCACAGTTGGCCCTGTTGTCAAGGCGCAGTTCACTGCACCCATGTAAGGCCTGCAGATAAAACTGATGGAGGATTATGGCCTAATTATTCTACAACATGTGTAGCTTCAAAGTCAAAAGGTCAATACACCTACCCCAGAAGTAACGATTTATACACGAGGTCAAAATTATTATCAGTACAGAATTTCTTGAAATAGACCTTTCTTCATAGAATCAGAATTGTCTTGGCAACTGACTGACTTCATTCACTTTGAATAGGTTATCAAATAGATATCAAAGCCGTATTATAAACTGTTTATTAGAAACGGGCCAGGTCTTAAATGTTCTTGGATCGCACTTTCGCAATTCAAATATATCTACTGTCCGCCTTCTAGAAGCTGTTTCATTAAAGAGAGATAAAATCGTCCATGCTTAACAAGAGCAGACAACTCTCAAATATCTTGTCTCTCTGGACTGTTGTTCAAGATGAACTGGGTACAATGTGTGCAGCCCATTACCGGTGTCCCCCGCCGTAATATTGCTGGAATATTGCTGAAAGCAGCGTAAAACTAAACCCAATCAGTCAGTCAAGAAGGACACGTACCCGTGATGATCCGGGTTAGAATTGATTTTCAGTAATCCATGCTTGTCGTAAGAGGCGACTAACGGGATCGGGTGGTCAGAATGGCTGGCTTGGTTAACACATGTCAGTGTATGCCATTTGCGTAGATCGTTGCTCATGCTGTTGATCACTGGATTGTCTGGTCCGGACTCGATTATTTACAGACCGCCGCCATATAGCTGGGATATTGCTGAGTGCGGCGTAAAACTAAACTCACTCACTCACATATACATGCTCAGGATAGAAGTATTGCTTTGATGAACCAATACAAAGAAACATTTTCTCTTTATTCAATATACGTCATCATGTTAGTATGACAATGAACTCAATTCTGTTGACATCTGTGTGAATAGTTTAGCGTTTCCATGACAATGATGACATCGATAATGGTTATATTTCATGGAAGTGACATTAATTTATATTTGACAGTTGGGCTCCAACGGTGATAAAGTTCTGACCCTAAATACTATTTCATTTCTCAATGTACAGACTTTTTCAAATGTTTAAGCTGTTGTTTTCAAGCTGAAATAGTCCCAAAGCACCAGGGCCCACTTGCACAGAGCAATCTTAGTTACAATCAATCTTAGGCCCCTACAATCAACTTTACAATCACCATACAATTGCCCTAATCCACTTGCACAAAGCCGATCTTAGCGCGATTGTAAGACCGCATGGATTTAAGATCGCGATCTTAGCTAAGATCGCACTCTTCAACGGTGGAGGTGCGAATTTCTTAAACTCGACTCCTGTCTACAGTTGTCTGCAAGTGCGCATAGCATACTGCGCAAATAGAGAGTGATACTGGTCCCTGCACACAATACATACCTCCCTCAATCGCACTTTGCAGAATTTTCATGACAAACATTCCAAGAAATCTTCGAAGGAAACGATTACGTGGACGATAGCATATATTTTTCTACATTTTAACTGTCTTGATTTATGAATTGAGAATGTGATATTTCAACCACGGAGATACCTACCCATGTTTTATGAAAATATTGAACTGCGAAAAAAATACATTCATAAATTTGGGTCTAGATTTAGTGACTTAATAATTATGAAAATTATAATAATATATCAAATATCGACAATATTTACTTATGATATAACACCTAAATGCATGATTTTCCACTGGTTGTCAATGAGACATTGTTTAATGCACAGCTGTTTTTTTTCCTTTTTTTTTTTTTGTGTGTAAAATCAAAAATATACCCTACAAGTATTGGTTTTCTCACAATATAACCAGAAAATGTAATATGGCTACAGAAGTGTTGTAAAGAATTCATGACAGGGAAATACGAATATCAAATAATATATCGAGAGAGCAGTTGTTAAATACTCATTCACAGTATATTAATGATATGACCCTATTGCGTTGATAAATATTTTTCTAAAAGTGAAATTAAAATTGAATCTTGATTTTGCACGTTAACTTGATTACTTTAATGATTAACTAAGACAAAATCACTCCATCACCGAAAAGAAAATATCTTGAGCTCTGGGATTGGGCATGACAGACTCTACGGCAACGGCATAAGCCAGGGGAAACCACTCCCATCTTGCCCATAAACTAAAATTATCTGCTCTTGAGTTAATGAAAAGGTCACGGCCATTGTTAATCGTACGCGGACACCATTTGCTAGTATCCTTCCTTGATTATCAAAAAGGAATGTTGTTTCACACTTATTCCAACATTGAATCGGTTGGGAATAGTACTTTGTGATATCGACTCGATAGTTCTGTGGTTCACTACAGCAAATAACAATGTATCCGACGTTAAATCGGTTGTGCATTCTCCGTGTTGTTGAAGTGTCGAGGCGAATCATACAGTACAGTTTTATGCAATATAAAAGCACGCTATCTCCAAACGTAAAGCTGATTATTTGCGTGAAACTTGAACACCATTTTGTCACAGACTACAATGATCTTAGCTCCTTACAGTTGGTCCGGACCAATTGTAAGTTTCGATTATAACTTACAACGATCTTAGCCTACAATCGCTTTGTGCAAGTCGATGGCGATTGTAGCCGAAGCCTAAGATCGCGATCTCAAGGATTTACAATAATTGTAGCGCTAAGATCGTTCTGTGCAAGTGGGCCCAGGTGTCTACTTTCTTTTGTACGTCAGTTTATGTCACGTCAGTATTCACTTCTGTCCAAGTGTGCGTTATAAGGGTTCATCAGCCTTAAATGTAGATCATGTATTAAAACACTGTTCAGATAAAGATACGCATAGGGGTCAAAGAGACATGAGAATGTTAATTTTGTCTGTGCTTGAAATCTTCATTACAAACACGACCCGTGAAGATCCGGCCTAGAATTTATCTTCAGCAACCCATGTTTGTCGTAAGAGGCGACTAACGAGATCGGGTGGGCAGGCTCGCTGACGCAAGTCATCGTATCCCAGCTGCGTAGATACATGCTCATGCTGTTGATAACTGGATTGTCTGGTCCGGATTCGGTTATTTACAGACCGCCACCATGACAATGATAAACGTCCCTATGACATCGATAATGGTTACGATTGAAATAAAAATGAAATTATATGAATGTAAATATCGACACAGTTTAAACCAAACGGACAAATATTTGACATACTTCATCAAACATTGTTCCCAAAACGGATCAGATGCACATAAACAAAGACAGTCTGAAGTGGCCGCCACACACCTGGCTGATGTTGCCACGACATGGAGCGTCGCAGTCCCCTTCGTTCTGGGCTGTATACTTCACGTCGTCATAGGAGTTTCCACAGAAACATTGCAAATGATTCTGAAAGAAAATGAGCCTGTTGCTATGATGTCTTGCATTTAAAACAAAATTTTAGCACGACATTGTGTGATACTCGATTCTGATTGGCTGAGGGGTCATCAAAACCGTCCTTAAATGGCAGTTTAAAGGTCACATGCAACGTAAAACACAACTTTGCAGATTCTGATACCTTTTGGTATGGACTTACCGAAACAAATCATCAAAAGTACAAATTCAACTTAAAAAGTTGAAAAATAACGTGATGAAAAAAAACGCGCGAAATCGGAGTTCAAACGATTCACTAATTTTCCCCCAGCGCTTGGGGGAATTCAAGTGGTTTCAACAGCTGGGCTGCGCTCATAGCACATGCGCAGTGAAATAGGTTCGCGCAGGTTAGAGGAGGGTTGTCCGGTGAGTACTCGGAGAAGGCTTTGGTGTGAGCTATTTTTCTAATGTTTTGTTGTTATTTCACAGGCGCGAGCTTTTCATATGTTATGACAGTAGATTAAATGTTTATATAATTTCATTTGTCTATTTCACCACACGTTCTTCTTACCGAGTCACTTTCTCAGTTCGATAGATAAAAGCAATGTCATATTTAGCGTTGACAGAATTTCTAACTGTGATACAGATATGTCGTTGTTACAGACAATACTCAATGTCTTGTTTTATTGACACCTATGCGTATGCCTGCCTGTCTGCTCATGACAATATTCAATACACAACATCGATCACTGACCACATGCAATTTGAACTTAACACCTATCAGGCTATACACCATAAACAAAAACGCATTGATTTATGGCCCGAGTTCAGTCTCTGTCACATTATGTAATTACACAGACAAGCAGGTGTGATACTTGTTCACATGACATGTTATGATGTCTGTTGATGTTATACACAGAAAATGAGCATGTATTTACAAAACCCAACATCTCTATATACACACACAATGAGCCGTGAGGGAATCTGCAAATGAACCAGCCGTTACACTTGAGTGCACACCCACCCGCTCTGACTGGGTTCGGTATCCCGGCTGCTTCGTTTCTTGGGAAGTAAACCCATATTGCACTTTTGATTTGCGATTGTACGCTTATAATTTTGTTTATATGTTTTTTCATAACCAGCAATGCATATTATTTGTCATGAATAAGTGATAATTGTGTTTTAATTATGTTTGATTTTTTGGTTGCATGTGACCTTTAATGGCCGCTAATTAAAGTGACCGATGCACCGCGTATGAATACAATGAACTCGTTGACCCATTTGTTTTAAAACAACATGTCGGACATCGGCGATTTCTACCTCGGCAGCATCTTTGATGTTTTTGAAGTAAAAGTGAATGGTTTGAAAAAAGAATTATTGACCCCAATCCCATTGAAGAAACTTCGAAGCAGGAAAATCGTCAGCAACGCAAAAGCGGCAATATTCCGACATACTTCAAACCGGGTCTAGATCTAGCGGGCATGACGTCGACAACACACGTCGGCCCATATGCCCTAGCGCTTCCGTCCCGAGCAGTCCTTCCACTTCCACTGTCCATGTTTCAAACGTAAAAGCTGCCATGTCAGGTCTTTTCTAAATTGGGAATAGTTGCCTGGTTTAAAAAAGCAGTTCCGTGAGCAAGCGACTTCACGGCTTGAATTTGGGCGAGTCGATTGCCATACAGTAGAGGGGATTAATGATTCGCTTGAGAAAAATTAATTAATTGTACTTGCTCTGACATGTATTTTTTTTTACATATTTATTCTACTTGTTTCAAGTACACTCATATTGGTTCCTGCAATAAAGCATTAGTTTTGGTGAACATGTCTTAATTTGTTCATTACACAACCTGTCCTCAGCTAGACGATACCAAGCGATTTCCAGGAAAAGGCCCTTCACGTCTTGTGTTCTGGCGCGCCAAAGAGTTCGGTTTTAAAACGCTTGTCAGTCGTGCTGGAATGAAGATACAGCTAGCCTGTTTTCAGTTTTGTGGTGGTCGTTTATCGCTGATTTAAGACCACTAACCGTACACACGCAAGTAACCATTCTCTTATTTTCCTTTCTTTTGAACTGGACTGTTGTCTTGTTTTGCTGGTTAAAGATGACGACTACATGTACATTTGGAAGTTAGAAATAGTGACTACATTTGGAAGCAATTTCTTGCGCTTGAACTGGTTTGTGTCTTGATTTTCTCGTTAAAAATAGCGAGTGCACGTCAAAACTGGTTTCTTCTCATTTTAACCGAGTCTCGTGATGCTTGCACCTCCCCATGAGTCTCTTTCCATAACACATTGGTCTGAGTAACGCTGGCCACGTCGTCGCCATATTCTTTTTCTGCCATCTGCAGTTGATACGCAGTACTGACTCTCATCTGTGAACAGAACAGTTCCCCATTGCTGTATCGCCAGTTTCGGAGGGCAAACTGTAGACGTTCACGACGATGACGAGGGGTGAGGATAGGTCTACGGTAAGGTCTACGGCAATGGAGGTTCCCGTTGGTAAGACGTCAGCGTACTGATTGGTCTTTCCACTGTCTGGCGTGCTGTTTCGGATGCCGGAATGAAGGGATTATGTACATGCTGTCGCACAACATGCCGGTCTTGTCGTCTTGTGGTTACCCTTGATCTGCCAGGGGCGATTATTTGTGGTGTTGGTGGCCCGGAAACGTTGCTGCAGCCTGTAGGTGGTCCGAACGCTGACCTGGAAGTGATTGGCAACGGCTTGTGCAGTGTGGCCAGCTTCAAGTCTTCCTAGCGCCTGATTCCTCTGAGCTGTCGTGAGTAGCAGCATCCTGCTAACGTTGTAATGTGAATGTTTCAACCAGGTTTGGGGGTGCATTTTATAGGGTTGGTCCCTGTAAACAGCACGTGCAGCACGAGTTGCATGAAAAACATGGAGAACACCGTACCATCTCCAAGATCAGGTTGCGTTTTTGATACCACTTCCCAGGTTCGAATGAGTTTGGGAAGGAATGTCTTTGCTCAGGTAAAGTTGGAGATGTTGTCAAAAATATACAATCAAAACATTAGATGAGTTTACAGTTATCCGTTTCTGCGAAGGACACTTCCAAACTGACGTTTCTTTTGATGCTTAGTATATATGTTTTGGGCCACCAGTATCAGTAGACTTTCTAAGGGGAGATACGACGTTGTTTAGGTCAGTGACATGGAGTAGCGGGTACAGTTGACTTACCTGAAGTCCAGCGAAAAGATAGTTGCCCTGCCCGCATCGCGCCAGACACCATTCGTGCGTCATGGAGGTGTTCCAGTAAAATTCATCATTGATCATTCTGTCCCAGTCATCCAAATAGCAGCCAACATAAAGATAGCCTGCAAGAAGATCAGCATCCGGCGTCAGGGTCGTAATTCGTACCTAATGGTGAATGAGTTGGGTTTTATGCAGCTTTTAGCAGAGCAGAAGGGGACACACAAGAAATGGGCTTCACATGTTGTACCCGTATGAGGAATCGAACACGGATCTTCGCCACCGCTTTAAGCACTATTCCACCCCATCGCCCATATTGGGTACTTGGGTACATTAGCTCTTATTTCTTATTTTTCTTTTTTTCTAATGTGTGTGTGTGTGTGTGTGTGTGTGTGTGTGTGTGTGTGTGTGTGTGTGTATTTGTATTTATTTGGTTTAATGCCGCTCAAACACAGCAATATCTCCTCAAGAAGACGACAGTAAGTAAATAATCTGTTCTGGAACAAGCAATCCGGTGACCGATATCATGAGTATCTATCAGCTCAAATGCAATGACATCAAGTCATAGGGTCTATCTACCTGTCCCTGTCGATTCTCACGACAAGTACATAAGCTATGTAAGTCAGACTTGACGTCATTTCAGTTTGGGGGCCGAGCCTGCCTAACATATCCACTTGAGACATTGTCGAGCATGTTACGTTGAAGATTTGAATGGTCGAGTCTGGACCATTTTATCCAGTAATATTATAAGCATCGATCTACGTCAACCAATACAGCGAGCCTGATCACTGTTACTTGCCTCGTGTGGAGATCAATTCTCATCCAGAGTTTCTAGAATTTATGTTCCAATTTATGGTATGGCTGAAATATTGCCGATGTGACATTAAATTGTACTCACTCACTCACTCATCCGGATTTTCACGGAGATATACATATATCAATGGATGAGTATTGAGTGGTAAGTTTTAACAAGTTTCAATAAATTCATATAATCAGTAATATCTACTGGAGCTTGAGGAGGGACTACTACGCAAGCTTAACACGATCTTCATTTAGAACCGTATATTTGGAGAACATGGTGCCTTAAGATGAACATTATTTGTGAGAATGACTCGTGCAGATTAGATTTGAACTTCAGTAAGCCAGGCTTGCCTTAAGAGGCGACTAACGGCAACAACAACTTATCCATATCTCTCAACCCTCACACATCCTGCCTCAATCTCACGCATTCAAGAACTACCTCTCTAAAGTCTCCATTATTGAAATATGTTACCACCAACTGACATAAAAAACGACCCCACCACCCGCCCCCACCCCACTCCCCTCGGTCGCCCTGAACCTGGCCGGGACCCCAGCTTCTCACTTATTGAGACTCTCAGCTTGACAGCTATGCTATTTAGACATGATGGTAATTCTGCGAAGAGTTGCTAGTTAAGAGACATGGCTAATAATACATGGCTGTTACTCTGTATATATTTTTCTTGCTGGTCGTTGGATGGTTACAGTGCGTTGCTATTCAGATGTGACGGTTAGACTATGTGTCTGATATACATACCATCCTCACACGATGTAACTGGTGTTGTTGCAGATGTGGTTGTACTAGTCGTCCCTGTTGCAGCTGCAGATGCGGTAGTAGCAGTCATTGCAGTTGTGGTAGTGGTGGCACCCGGGGCTTTAGTCACAGAAGTAGCAGTCTTGGCAGTTGAAGTGGTATCACTCAGGGCTGCAGTCGTCACAACAGTAGCAGCTGTAGCAGCAGTAGTGGTGGTACCCAAGGCTGTAGTCGTCAGAGGAGCTGCAGCTGTAGCAGCAGAAGTAGTGGTACCCAGGGCTGTAGTCGTCAGAGGAGCGGCAGCTGTAGCAGCAGAAGTAGTGGTACCCAGGGCTGTAGTCGTCACATGAGTTGCAGCTGTTGCAGCAGTAGTGGTACCCAAGGCTGTAGTCGTCAGAGGAGCTGCAGCTGTAGCAGCAGAAGTAGTGGTACCAAGGATTGTAGTTGTCGCAAGAGTTGCACCTGTAGCAATCATGCCCACAATTGTCTCAGGAGCTACAGTTTATGTAATGCTAAGTAATTGATTGTTTGTTGTTTAACCACCTATATGGCGGCGGTCTGTAAAAATCGAGTCTGCACCAGACAATCTGGTGATCAAAGACATGAGCATCGATCTACGCAATTGGTATACGATGACATGTGTCAACCAAGTCTGCGAGCTTGACTACCCGATTCCGTTAGTCGCCTCATTTGCCAAGCATGGTTTGGTGAGGACCAATTCAGGATCTTCTCGGGTCGGTAGGTAATTGAATTACCATGACATCAGATCTACTGAACACTCGATTGGGAAACGTTTAGCAGATATATAGAATACACGCTTAGCCTAATCTTGCCGTGTGCAGTTTCTATCCTAACACCCTATCGTCACAACAGTGTGACATCCGTTCCATAAAATCATCCCCTGCGGCGATGTGGATATGATCATCTCACTGGTTCTAGTTGGTTGTTTTATTGATCACATATATAAATTAATGTTATTCATTACATTTATTGATTATATTGGTACATACAACACTCAAATTGGTACACAACAGGTACAATAACACTCTCAAATTGGCTAATCACCGATAACATTGATTGACGACATCTGTCAATTACATTTATTGATTGACGACATCTTTCAATAACATTTATTAAGAAGTGTTATTGGTTAGCTATTTTGATCATGCAGAATTACCATGACTGTTATTGGAAATGTTATATCACCTATCTGCCAAGTTACCTATTTGTCAATCATACCTGTGTCAAAAGGGACAGAGAATCCATTGATTTTCATTGTGTTTATTAAAAAGGTGAACGGCGGGTCTGTTGGCCTCAGTGACTGTGAGGCCGTGTACATGTCTATTCCAGAAACATGACTGGTCTACCGCGTTTATATGGACACATTTGTATACGTGAGTAAAGTTGCACACGTAAGCATATTTACTCACGTGTGCAAATGTGTCCATGTAAACGCAATTACTCACAAGGAGTAAATTTGCCTTGAGGTAGTGCAAAAGTATTTTTGCATATAAACTGAGTTAAAAAAGAAACTTCACAAAATGTAATTTGAAATATAATGAATAATTTTTCTCTGATGATACATCTATGTATCCGAAATGGGATCCCTATCTTTCGACTCTAGAAAAACGTGAGCAAAACCCACTCAAACCCATCCATTCCTCGTGCAAATGACGTTAGTGCCAAATCAGGTTTTGCACGTGCAGTCGATCACGTGATCTTCGCATCGAAGTTTTCTTCATATCCACGTGTTTGCATTGGCCTCAAGAATTGAAAAAACACTTTTAAACCACAGTTCTAACGGTACTTGAAATGCCACGATTGTCAAATGTGCAACGTGAATGTGCCGTTGGCATGTTGCAAGCGGGAAGATCAGTTTTGACGTCGCAAGAGCAATGGGATGGAGCCGTCTTACTGTGTATGACTTGCGAGGTCGTCTACAACAAACTGGCACCACTTCTGATCGCCCAAGGTCGGGTCGTCCATTTCTGCCGGCTACACGAACCAGGGCTGAGATGTTCAGAGGTCGACTGTCCTCACAGACCATTCGAAATCGGTTGCGGGCTGCCAATCTCCATTCTCGACGTCCATATCGTGGGCCACTATTGACGCCCTTTCATCAACGTCAACGTCTGCTGTGGGCCCAACGTCACCTCCGATGGACTCAGAGAGACTGGAATCGAGTCGTCTTTAGCGATGAATCCAGGTATACCCTCAGATTCGCGGACGGCAGGCATAGAGTCTGGAGACGATGTCGCCCAATGTTGTGTACAGGAAGTCGACAGATTCGGGGGCGGAAGTTGCATGGTGTGGGGTGCTTTCTGTGGGAACAACCGTTCCCGACTTCTGGTCATCCGTGGAAACCTCACAGCTGCTGCTCACCGCGACCAGGTGCTCACCCCTGAACTCGTTCCTTTCATGGCGGCTCATGGCCCAGGTCTACAGTTCCAGCATGATAATGCTCGGCGGCATACCGCGATGTTGACACGAAATTTCCTTCAAAACGCTGGAATCAACGTCATGGACTGGCCATCGAGGTCCCCTGACCTTAATCCAATAGAGCACGTTTGGGATGCACTTGGGAGAAGGCTTCGTGGTCTTAGGAACTAGCCTCAGATTTTGCAGGAACTTGGCGCTGCCTTGCAAGAGCAATGGCGCAGAATCCCCAACCACGTGTTCACAAGCATCAGGCAGTCGATGAGGAGACGGTGTTTGGCATTGGTGAATGCGCGGGGCGGCCATACACGATATTGAACTGAGAAATTTCGCACTTTTATTCTTGTGAGTTGACATTCTGTATACCCATGTTTTGGAACGGCGGTGTAGCCTAATGGAACTGATTATGGCACTGTCAGTGCATCGAGTACATCACACAGATCTTAGCAATGAAATAATAACAATTTAACCATCTTACCATTTCTTGTTCTTTTATAGTGCCCTGAAGAAAGAATGTGAAGTTTCTTTTTTGACTCAGTATGTGTAAATTTGAACCCTATGTTAATGTGTTCATGTAAACGCAACAGGGTCGGTCCGTCGGTTATATCTATGCAAATATGGCTGAAATAGATACTTATTTCGAATTGGTTCTCAATTGCCATCCTGGCAGGACTCAATCTGAAGTTGAAATCTTTCTGTGAAGGTGATACGGTTGTGTGATATCGGCAAGCGGGTTAGCAACATCTCCAGTGAGGACAATGGGCATAGTGACTGCTTTGACTTGACTAAGCGAAGAGTTCAAAAGCATAGGAAAAGCTTGATACATATATCTCTCCATCACGTATGATGCTTGCCTCAGATGTGAAAAACTCAAAAATGAGAAAAAAAGCAACACTTGGCCATATCATAAAATACATATAGGTTCCAATTCTTCATGTAAACGCAAAGTAAATATACTTTTACTTGCGTATGCAAATTTGCTCCATATGCAAATATACGCCCATGAGCAATAAGTGTCCATGTAAACGGGTAATGTTCTGGCCAGTACCATAAATTGGCATCCGAGTCTGGCAATTTTTGTAAGTCAATTCTTTATTATTATTATTATGTTTTACAGATTTAAGATAATATGCAGCAGAGAGGGTTCGGGTGATCCTGGCACAGTCAGGCTGGTAAGGCTCATCATCAGCTCAGGGCCCTTGCCCCTCTACACGCAGCCCAGACAGCGAATGGGACTTCTCCCAGGAATCGCTGCCTAGTCGAACCCACCAAGAACTTTCCGGAGAATATGAAGGCTCCCCAACACTGCAGCCGTCCGCATTACCCAGAGTGTCCGAAGGGCTGTACTCCCGGTGGAGAACCCGGGCACTCTCCTGATCTGCGCCAAGAGATCAGGAGGTACCAAACCAAGGGCAACGAGAACAATGGGGAGCCTGACGACAGTGTACTTGGGATGCAAGCGAGACATTTCAAAGGCGAGGTCCGAATATTTATCATGCTTTTCCGTAATCTTGTCAATCACATTGGTGTCAAAAGGGACAGAAAATTCAATGATATAAATAAATTCATTGGCTTTATCAAAAAGGACAAGATCAGGTTTGTTGGCAGAATTCTTCTGAGGCTGTATATGGGCCTATTCCAGAGAAGTTTGAAAGCATCATTTTCCATGACGCCCTAGACATGTTCAGGGTCGTACCATGGATGGACCTCGGAGTCGAAGCCACAGGCATGTCGGAGACGGTAGTAAAAGCAATGAGCCATGCCATCATGTCGTTTAAGAGATGATGTTTGTGCCAAGGAAGGGCATCCACTGACAAGGTGTTGGACAGTCTCCGTGAATTCATTGCAAAGTCGACATTTCATATTGATATTTTCTTTAAGAATCACATTTAGGCGATTGCGAGTGGGAAGTGACTGGTCCTGAGCAGCAAAAAGGAAGCCCTCAGTTTCACGTTTAAGACCAATCGACTTCATCCAGGAGAAGGAGTCGGTGGGATTGCTATTCTGTTCAACACACTGCATGTACACACGATGCAATGGCTTCTCAGAAAGCTTCTCCACAAAAGACAGACTCTGGGCAGACTTGGTGAAGAACTTCACCTGGTTTACTCCCATTGCTGTACCGTCCAGCAGTACATCGCCATCTACAAAATCTACCTCAGATTTCAGATTCTGTCCAACAACCTTGGCACGCTTAAAATAGCTGTGGGATTCCTTGCTTTCATCACAAGTCTAAACATGCATCACCAGAGGATCATCTGATAAAAAAATATGTGCTAAAGTACACAATAAAATTCTATCATGAAGAGCCTCCACATTAATCAAACCCCGACCTCCAGAATTGATTGGCATGTATAAATGGTTAAGAGAGGAACGAGGGTGGTGGGCCCTGTTATCAGACATGATACTTCTGGTCAGACGGTCAAGACTCTGGATGTCTTGTTTTGTCCAATCAACTACTCCAAAGGAATAGGAAAGGACTGGCACAGCAAAAGTATTGGTGGCTTTGACCTTGTCTCGATCATTTAGCTCTGAGCTCCAGATTTTCTTTAAGCGAGATTTATGCTCGGCCCGAAGTTTATCTTGAATCTGTGCAATCTGGAGCTTGTCTCGAACTTGCATTCCAAGATAGGTGTAGGCCTGATCTTCCACAAG